GCGCTGCGCCCCGCGCCGACCACCTGGCCTCGTCTGCTCCTCGCAGCCACCGCTGGGAGGCGGCCCAGAAAAGGTCCCAGGTCACCGAGGAGGGACCCGGAGCTCGGAAAGATGCCCACGGGCCGGTCCCGCGGCGGGGGAGCCGAGGCGTGGACTTCCAGTCCGGCCGGCGCGCCCGGCCTTCCGCGCGGTGCGCTCCGCGGGATTATCGCCCGAGTGTGCAACTCTCAGTGACATTCTTTAAAAACTGTGATAAACCATATTTAGGGTCTCCTGGTTCTGACAACTCCAGGGTGCTGCCCTCGCAGAGCCTCCCCTGTGCATTTGTACTCGATTTACATCGTTATTTGCAGAGTTTGGGTTTTAATCATTAAAAACATTTCTTTAACTCATTAATAGGATTTCTTAGCCGCTCCAACAGTGTTTGTCACTGGAGGGACCCAGACACGTGGGGTGAATTGGGGCGGGGGTGTGGAGCATGGGAACCTCAAGTTTTCGCGTTGGAGAAGGAGTTGGGGGCCCTGCCGCACCAGGCCTGTGCTGGGCAGACGCTGAGGTTCTTTTCTTAACGTTGGCTCCCTCCTGACCTGTGCGAGGCCGGCTGGTGCGTTCAGAAGCCTCCGGCCTCCAGGACAAGAGTCCTTTCTCTCCCCTGTCCCAATACTGTTCACGGAGCATCGGAGCATCGTGAACAGGCCTGGCCCTGCTGGGAGAGGCAAAGGCGGGGAAAGCCCCTGACTGGGAGAAGCTTGTCAACCACTGGCTCACGATGCCCCTGTCCCTAGCATCTCCATCTGTTGTTCTGTCCCCTTCAGTAAGAAGGTCCTCACTTGTGGTTTGAAGCAAATTTTTGTGAGGGTGTGTGTCGCAAAGGAGAAGCCTCAGCACGTAAATCAGCAGAGTCATGTTCTCCCTTCTCATCCCCTAAAATAAGAAGAACCACAGTTTTTTTTGTTGTTGTTGTTTGTTTCTTTCTTTTTTTTTGAGGCAGAGTCTCACCCTGTCAGCCTGGCCTCACAGTACAAACAAACTCAGTACAAACTCACAGTACAAACTCCTCTTGCCTCAGCTTTCCCCCCCCACCCCCCCACCCCCTGCCCAAAGGACCTCCAGAGTAGCTGGGACTACCGGCGACCATCACAACAGTCAGCTAGTTATTTTATTTTATTTTATTTTTAGTAAAGACAGGGTCTCACTCTTGCTCAGGCTGGTCTTGAACTGAACCCAGGTGATCCACCTGCCTCATCCTCCCTGAATGCTGGGATTACAGGCATGAGCCACCGCGCTCTGTTGCAGGTCTCACCGGCACTTCCAAGAAGGCCATTTTACTGACCACGAGAGCCCCCACCCCCAACCCCCGACTCCCACCTTCGTGGCCTACCATTTAGGGAGTCAGATTGACGGGGCTCAACATTCTAGGCCTCAATACTGCCTGCATCTTACTTGTTGTAAATTCCAGACTTGCAATCTGCCTTTTTAAAACAACAGCTTTATTGAAATGCAATATACATAATATGAAACTTAAATGCTGTATATTTAAAATACACAATTCAATGAGTGTTTGTTTATTGATGAAGTCGGTCCGCCACAACTGTAATCTAATTTTGAACATTGTCATTACTCTGAAAAGAAACCTCTCCACTTACAGTCGTGCTCCCTAAGCTTAGGTAACTAATGCTTTCCTGTCTCTATGTATTTACCTAGTCTGGACATTTCATATAACTGGAGTCATACAGTGTAAGCTCTTTTGTGGCTTGCTTTTTTCACTTAGCCTAATGTTTTGCTTATATACATTGTAGCTTGTATTAGAATTTCATTCCTTTTTACGGTCAAATAATATTCCATTGTTATGGCTATGCTATATTTTGTTTATCCATCATTTGGTGAACATTTAGGTTGTTTCCATTTGGGGCTATTATAAGTAATGCTGCTGTCAACATTTATGTGCAAGGTTGTTTGTGGACAGATGTTTTCATTTTCCTTGAGTATATGCCTAGGGGCAGAATTGCTGGATCCCACATAGCGAACTTCCAATCAGTTTTCCAAAGTGGCTATACCATTTCCCATTCTCACCAGCAATGTATGACGGTTCTGATTTTTCCACATCCTTGTCAACACTTGTTATTGTCTTTTTAAAATTCTAGTCCACCTCATGGGCAAGCAGTGGTATCTTTTTCAGTTTTGATTTGCATTTCTCTAGTGACTAATCATGCTGTCTTTTCATGTATTTATTGGCCATTTGTGTGGTTTTTGTTTGTTTTTTTTTAAGTCTAAATCCTGGCTCGGCGCCTGTGGCTCAAGCGGCTAAGGCGCCAGCCACATACACCTAAGGTGGCGGGTTCGAATCCCCAGCCTGGG